GCCCGGGTCGTTGATGAAGGGGCGGGAAGCGCTCGGGGCTCCTTGCGGGCGCAAAGAGAGCGGCGGATCGGGGTCGTCGGAGGTGATGAACTCGTTGATGCTCAGCGTCATGCCCTTCTTCTTGCCCTTGCCCTTGGCGGCTGCGGCGGGAGGGGGCTCCGGAACGGCGTCCACCTGCAGGGCACAAGGCGGGGCAAGGTCGCCCCGTGGGACGATCGTCTCGGTCTTCAAATTGCGGCGGGCTCAATTCGATCGGATTGGATTCGCCGCATGTTTTCTAAGTTACGGAACTTCCTACCAACGGTCCGTTGTTCCTTTGCCCAAGCATTCGGGCAATTGGTTTGATTCCGCACGTTCGGTGAGCAGCTGACAAAGCACACGCCCCTTGTAGCATGCACGTTCCGAAACGCCGGGCATGCCGGCCCCTTTTTGATTTGGAAAAAGTCAAGAACTTTTAGAAGTGACGAGGCCTTCCGTATGTCGTGAGCTGGTGCCTAAAACCTATGTCAACAAGTTCACCTTCTCAAAGTAAAGTGGACTTAAAAACCAATGCTTTACACGTAGGTCCCCCAACGCCGTTGCTTGTGCCCTTTGACCCACGAAAGGCCCTCTGGTTGCCAGGGATGAGAAACACCATTAGCCCTCTTCTCATCGTTGTCCTCTTGTTCCTGTTTCCCGTTTCTCACCTTCTGCTTGCCCTTGTCCTTGGTGCGGTCCTTGTTCCCCAGCGTGAACACGTTGTCCTCGTCCTCCTTCTTGCGGTACTCCGTCACCTCCCCGTCATCCAGCTCGCGCTCCGCCACCGGCCGCTGACATCACAAACACAGCCGTACACAGTAGTGACGATTCCAAATGACTTGATCTGGATTCATTCTCCAACAATCCAGCATAGGAAGGTGGAAATCAATGGTGCTTCCGACCAGAATCTGACTGCTGTAGTGTTTGTCTGGAAACGCGTTTTGAGGCTGATTATGACAGTTTTTGAAATTCCGGTGGCCTTTTTGGATTATTGAACCCTTGTGGCCGCAAATGGGCATTGGATGATGCCTAGATAATCGGAATCATCACCTTGGACTAGGGCAAAACTATGGCAATCCTTAAGGTGTTGCTGTTCCAAAGGCACGATGGGTTTTGCGGTTGCTGTCTTGGTCTTGGAAGGTTTGGCCGATCCTTTGAAAGGGCTCTGCTTGGCCGAAAAGTTACATCCGTGTAAGCAGTGCAGAGGAGCTTCCAATAATGTATGGTAAGCACAGATGCTCTTGGGGCGTGGAGTAGATGTCTGCTGAGGATCCACGCGACGACAAGGTTACTGGAGGCATTTTTAAAAAGCCATTGGTGCATGATACTGTCGGGAGAACTTACCAGGGGTGCCTTTACCAGTACCGCGATGCCCGGCGCTCCCCCTCCCCCGCTGCCCTCCTCGTGCCCCCCACTCGAGCCCGCCCCGCCGGCCCCCCCATTTGCCTCTACCACCGGCGCCCCCCCATCTGCGTTCTTCTTCTTGCCCCTCTTCCTGGGCGCCTCCTCTGCCTCTGCTTTGGTCTCCTTCGCTTCTACCGGGGCTTCCTCCGGGATCGGCTCTGCGGCTGTGTCTGTGGCGACGGCCTGTGTCGCGCCCTGGAAGCTGAAGTTCGTGAACGTTCGGCTCTTCGTGGACCGCCGGAACTTTGCGAAGCCTTCCAGCTCCTCCTCGTCGTGCTTCTCTTGCTTCTTGGACCGCTTTGACGCCGCCGCCGCCTTGGCCGCCTGCTTGGCCGCCTTCTCCTCTGCGCGCAGCCGCTCCTTCTCGCGCCGCTTCTTCTCGTACTTCTCGGGGTCGATGATCTGGGGCAAGCGGCAAATGCGGTTAGCCGCCAAAACCAGACGAAGCTGAAGAATCCTGGACCTCCGTGAAAGTACAAACTTCACTGCCTTTCGAATCTGGATTCTCAGAAAAAGATCTTCTAGGAAGCGTGCCAAAGAAACGTCTAAGGAAGATGACGAAGTTGGATGTCTGCGACTGGCTTAACGAACACTGAGACAGGCCGATACAAGCCCCTGAGGGCTATCATAGCGGAAAAGCAGCACGTCGGAACATTCACATATCGCCCGTTCTAGATACGAAACACCAACCAGCGACGGTGCGCACTGACCTGGTACGACACTTTCCCGAACCTGTTCCACTTGGTCCCGTTGGTGAGCGTCCCTGGGCAGTCCGGCGTGATGCAGCGCGCCCCTTCTTCCTCCTTCCACACCCCGTGCTCTCTCTCCATTTTCAGCTTCACGTCCTTCCGGTGACAATCCCCCGTGTGGTACAGCAGCAAACACCGCTCCGTGCACCGGAACTCGATGTACTCCTGTGTTTTCGTCAGCATGCGCTGGTTCCCGGGGCAGTGCGTCCCCCGGCAAAAGTACGCCGGCCCAATTTCTTCCTCGCCCTCGTTCAGCGTCTTCTCGCGCGGGCCGAGCCCCATCTGCAGCCGCTTCTCCTCCATCTCCGCCTCGGCGCGCAGCCGCGCTTGCTCCGCCAACTCCCGCGCCTCGGGAGAGTTTGCGTAAACGGCCGCGTCCTCCATCTGGCGCTTCTTCGCCTCCGCTTGCCGCCGCTTCTTCTCCTCTTGTTCTCTCCGTTTCCGCTCGGCTCTTTCCCGCGCCCGCTCCTCCTCTTTCCGTTTCCGTTCTGCTTCCCGCTTCCGTCGCTCCTCGATCGCCCGTTCCTCCGACTCAAAGTCGGGGTAGAAGCTGCCCCTGCGCGGGCCCCCCCGCTGCGCACCGTAGGTTGGTCGGGCGTGCTCTTCTTCCTCGTCTGACTCCTGTTCTGGTTCACTGTCGGGTGGTTCCGACCCCGAGTCCTCGTCTTCGTCATCCTGTTGAACCAAGGACAAGGTTATGAAGGACATTACTAAAGTCATAACAGGGGCGGACAGCTGGCATATGCATGGACACTCGTGTTGTTTCCATTCGCAAGATGCATTATGTCACTGATCGGCAAAATAGCATGGGCGGACACAGCTTGCGAGAGTACTGCAAATAAACTTTAGATTGAGAGACTGGGCTAGCAAGCGCATAGATGCTGCTTGCATTAAAGACAGCTCACCGCTTCCAACAGGTCCGGCACCTCTTCCGAGTCATTCCCATCAGACGCTTCCTCCACTTCTCCGTCCTTCCGCCTGGGTGGGGGCTTCCCCGCCGGCGGGGGCGCAGCTTTGGCAGCAGGCGGGGGGGCCGCCTTGGCCGCAAATTTCGGAGTAGAATTGAAACTGAAGGATGAGGGGCCTTGGGGTTGCGCGGCTGCTGGCGCAGGGGAGGGTCTCGAAGCGGCAGCTGGCGCAGGCGGGGGGGCAGGCTGGGGTGGGGGCTTGGGCTTGGCAAAGAAGCCCGCCTTCAAGCCCGGCAGAGATGGCCCATCGGGTTTCTGCAGAAGGCCCAAAGTATAAGAGGCTTCGAGTCGAAACTCAAGCTCCAACTGATAAGGATCACGTAAGCAAACTGCATGGCGGTGTCCAGTTTTTGAGGTTAACCAAAACGTTCACAATCCTCGTCTATGTAATCAAGATCTGGGCAACGAGGCACTCCACTGCTTCTCACACCCTGTAAGGGTCCAGAGTGCATCATCTTCTTGAGACAAAAGCATGCCTTTACCACGCCAACTCTCCTGGCAGCTCCCAGAGGGCACATGAAAGGGTTTGAACTGAAGTGGTAGCTGACCGTCTTATTGTAACCCCGTCCGTTGCTCCGCTCATCATCGGAGTCCTCGTCTTCGTCAGACTCGCCCACCAGCGGGGGGGGCTCGTCATCGTCTTCGTCGTCTTCTTCCTCATCACTCCCACCTGCAAACAGAAAACACTCTAGTGACTCAATTGGGCTCGCCCTATCTGTTACACAGCACACTCAACTAATGGCTCTGATCAATGCTGCAGCGCTAGCACAAAGAACCCCTGGAACCGAATCCTTTCTTCAGATCCTCAAACCACTCAAGTAAAGGAAATTATCCAACTGGGCCAGACCCGTTTTTTGCAGTCCCAAAGAAAGCCACCATGCGGAGGAACGAACGACCTCTACAAGAACACTCCTGGAGTCTTTCTGCTTCACTGCTGCAGATTGCCTCACCATCGAGCAACTCAGGAAGGTCGTCATCATCGTCGGCATTATTGTCTTGTGCTGAGGGCTTGGCATTGAAAGGGGCTTGAGGTTGGTGCGCAGGGTACTTCTGCCGAGTGTCGGGCTTCTCGTCGTCCTCGGACTCCCCTGAGCTGTCCTCCGCCAGGTCCGGCATGTCCTCCTCGCTAGACGCCATGCTTCAAACTGCGCAGCCAAGCACAAGAAGGGAACCTGAGCAAATGCTTTCTGAAATATTTTGTCGTTGCCGCATAGTGTGTCATCTTTGGGGCCATTCGTGGCATGGGCTGAGAAGGGGATCAAGCAATCGTAGGCTGCGAGCAATCAGGAGGCTCACAAGGCTTTCCAGAGGGGCAGCCAACTACAGTAACAAACCGAGAAACCCTTGTCAAACTGCTCCAATTGGATGTGGCCCGTTGAGTGGGTTGCTGATTATCCAACGGTACCATGATTGCTCGACCATAACTGATATGCCTACAGCTGTTTTCAAGCTTATCCTATTTGCCAACGTCAAGCCAGCTCAAGAAGGATGGAGCTGCGGTGGAGTTTACGGAAGTACTGAACACCCTAGCTCCAATCTTTGAAAACCCTTGAGAAATCCCCAAAGAGGCACTCCAGCATTGAGCCCGGAACCTGGCAACTTCTCATGCTTTCTGCAAAATGCGACGGTCTCGAAATGAAACAGCATATAAAGTCTTGCTTCAACGCACACTGCCTATGGGCCCTTGCTACTAGAAAAAAACCTTAAAACGTTTCTCACAACGGCGTGGTGCCTGCACCCTAGAGGACATCTGCAAGTCGAGCACTTTCCTACAACCAAAGAGCAGGCAAGGCAAAACGGCCTGATGAATGATTCGCCTCCTACCTGGGCAGCAAGGTGCTGAACTTTAAGCGGAAAGTATGCTGTCGTGGTCGACGTGAAATCCCACCCAAGTGTGGCCTCCCAAGTGTGGTTCAGCAACCATACCTAACAGCCCATGTGCGCCTATGATCAGGCTGAAGACAATGCTTCTTCTCATGTGGCAAATGGCTCGGACTGTCCTTTGAGCAATGACGGCGCCCCTGAACAGGAATGAGTCATGCTACTATTCTAGGCTGGGCCTGCCAGCCATCTTCTCACAAGACAACGGCGAGAATTTGGCGGGAGACGGAGAGCCAGATACAGTCAGGAATCTGCCAGATACAGAGTTGATTCTACAACAGCAGAATTTTGAGAGACCGCAAAGCAATTTGTATTAGTAATAGGCCAACAGCGGCTGACATATCAAATTCCCGGGTAGTTGTAAGCCTACACGAGGCGCGCGCTCGAGAGTCAAAGTCACCTCGACTCTTCTCCCAGGGTATTTCAAAATACTTTCATGAGCGAGGAAAGTGTCCTTTCCCCCTCCGCTTATGCCACAACCGTTTTGAATTTTCTATCCTGGTGCGACTCGCTTCGAGTAGAGACAAAGTTGCCAATTTGCAAGGAGAGAACAACATCTGTAGCGCAGGAAGCCCTGAGGCCCAGGGGCCGCGTGTCACCTGTCACTCTCCTTTCACGAAGATTGACTCTCGCTCAAAACAGCGTTCCAAGGACTCCGTTGACATGATCTGATGGTCTGACAGAGGCTGGTAAATATGGGACGGAGCATATGCTTGGCGCTTCTGATCGTCAATTTGATGTTGGCATTCCAGGTCATTGAAGCGATTGAGAGTGAATGCTCGGCTTGCCAAGCTATTGCAGTAAGCTACTTAGCTAGTTCCGAGGACGTACCGTGTCGTGTACAGCAATGCGTCTGAAATTTGACTATCTCATAGAGTACCACCACCATGATGCATTCGGCTGCGAAAGAGGGGCTAAGTATATGGAGGCGACCAGACTGGTTATCGTCGTAATGTCTTCGCCTGACTTCATCGGCAATCTTCTTAATGAGCCAGTGCAGGGTATCACTGCCCATGTGATGCAAATTGTCAAGCTTAGCGAAAACTTGCCGCCTTGGTTGCCAAAGAGAGAATTTGTTGCCAAGTGTGCGGTTCGTTCTGTGTTGTTTCATGTTTGCCGCTGTTTATGTGATACATGTCTGAGATCAAGGAGTCGTTTGTGCAGGAAGAGTTGACGACAGCTATAAAGAATGTGAGTTACTTTCGTCTATTTGCCTCCTGCCTTTTTCCATTTTCAGAATCTGCCATGGCTCAACAGAACCCAGGCACAAATTGTCAGAAAGCCTAGAGATCAATGACTGAGTTCAAGACCATCATCTGTCAATCAGGGTTTTGCATCCAAGAGCAGGCGGCGCTCTTTCTGCTGCGGGAACTTGTCCAAGTCATGTTGTTCTTAGATGCTGGTTTGGATTAATGATTCTCATGTAGGCTTTTCTTTGTTTGTAGTATACTCTTAGAAGCAAACATCCAATCGCACAGCGTAATAGTGTGAAGATGGTGGCTTGCAGGAGAAACCTCGCAACCATATTGATCTCAGACACCGGCTCGACTCGAAAGGCCAGAGAGAAGGGCGCGTGATTGACTACAGGTAAGCAATCCCTGTTTTTATGCTGAGGAGGGCTCTTTTGGGTGTTGGAGCTTATGGAGACGCGAGTTATCCCCCTGCCTCAAACCTTTGATTTAAGTCAAGGTGTCCAAGATTCTCAAGTTCAGCTTCGCGGTGCCTTGCAGAGTAAGCGAGTTGCGCGCGTTTGAACTGCTTGAGGGCTTGTGCAAAGCCACAAAGGCTTACCGGCTAAACGAGGTGAGGGATTCAATCGATTAAGGAAAGATGCACCCATAAAAGCGATTCAGTTGCACCCATGAGAAAAGTAGATATATATTTCCAAGTGAACCTGGCGACTTACTGTCTTCAAGAATGAAGCCCTTTTCAAAACGTCGTGACGTCCATTGTTCGCGTCTTTGTTATAAACTCACAAATGTCAAAAGGACGCCACCATTCTCCTCGTTCGGTTCATTTTAGAAAGGACTTCCCTGATGGGCCCACCATCGGCTTCCTCTCAGCTTGGATGTGTCATTTGTACACCTAGAGTTCGTTATGTCTATGTTTCTAACAATTCCTTCGTTTTGCCAGACTGTATGGCGGAAACCAACAGCAACGGAGTCACCTTGTAAGTGCTCATTCTCGATGATTTCCCTTTCCCTTTCTCATAGGTATTACTGAGCATTAGGATGCTCTGAGATCAAATCTCGTGTCAGCAAAGGGCGAAGATATTCTCTCTCGAATCTAAAGCCAGAATGTCTGACCTCGAAGATTGTCGGTGACCGTCTGGCAAGCAAATTGGGCTGTTTTGGCAGAGGTCGAAAGATCTTCAACAATCAGCCCGCCTTCTAATATCACCCCACTCGTGCAGCGGATCCAGCCTTAAAACGACTGGCCGAAGCACAGTCCAAAGAAATACAAACTTACTGCGATCGGCTTCTTGAACGGGTGGAAGAGGAAGTGAGTCTCCTGGCTCAACCTCAATCTGTGCTACCGTGTCATGCTTTGGATCGATGGACTATAATGAATAGCACCACACGTCAGCAGATCAACAACTTGAGAATTAGATAGAGCCTCAAGATCATCGAGCAGGATTTCCATAAACTTTAAACTGGAGATTTCATGTCGCTCTTGAATGACTCGACATTGGGATACGCTCCCCATCACGCTAACAATGGATCGTCACACTCTCGGCCTGGTGGTGCAGCTGGCGACAGCCATAAGGGAAGATGGGATAGACGACATTGAGACGCTTCTATGTCGAAAGCTGAGCCGAGCGTGCCGGCCGTAAGTCTCCGCAATACTCGCCTTTCGCCTGCGCAACTTTCTCATCATGATGGAAACTAAGCCTGTCTGGTTGTGCGGACATGAGTGCAGGTTGGCAAAGCTTGAATGGATTGTCCGACGACGTAGTTCTGGCTTTGCATAAATTCTCAGGTCTAAGGCGCTCGTCAAATGGGAAGGGTAGTGTATTTCTCTCATGCCCATGACAGTAGTGCTTACTTTATCTGTACAGGAGAAAGAAGCGGGAGACGGCACGCGGGACGCCAGAAGTCCAGCCATCGGACACGAAAGGAGAACTGTAGGAGCTGTACGGATTCGACAGGGGCCTCTCAGACGGAATGTGGTCCTGGTTTGACTCGATCAGATGGAGTGTCGTCTTGGTTTGATTTGAGTCAAACCAGGATTATTGCGATTATACTGCCGTGCTTTATGTGCCCCGCCGCTTTGAACTAGATTCGATGCGGAGGCATTAATTTGACGCCGGAGCCAGTGGTATATGGTCGTGTTCCGTGCCATATAAATCACATGATACTCCAGCTCATTCTTTCGAACTCACGTGGGTCTCCTTGGGGGCGCTACTTTGTACGGGCAGTGGCCATCATCGAACTATACTTTTGGTATAGCCACTTTCTCAGGATCACTGGTGTCACTGTGGACGCTGTTATATGCAGGTCAATGTATACATAGACTCAGAGGTCGCAGTGCACATCATACCTTATCTGATTGTATTGAATGTTCATGCGTTGCCGGATCCAGGCGCCTCCTGGCGCAGACCCATGAGACCGCCTAGCTAATTCATGCGATCATTAAGTGAATGAAGATCACGTTGGTTTGGAGTTTCGATCATGCATCAGTGGTTTGGTCACATGCCGGCCATCCGTGAGCACCATGTTACAAGGTTTTCCAGCACGAGATTCTCATATATACCGCGTCGCCAGCGCCGCTGCATATGCATTAACCAGTACGTACTCACATGCATGCATTCCGCATCTGGACGTCGGATGTTGACAATGTTTAGTGCAGTGCATATGATTGTACTTTGAGCTTTTCTGGACATAGAGTTGTGCATGCCAGGATGGCCATGGCCAGCTGCGCTAGGCGCGATAAAGATGGACGACCTTTGATCCTACACTCCTTCATTGAACATGCCTCTGACATTGCATCAAGAGTCATGAATTGAAGCTATGCCAGCATATGAAAGGAAAGGACCGCGAACTTAACATTTGAAGCACCGGCAGAATCCTATGCAGACTTGTCTGCGGGCTTAGCTGAGAATCCAAGAACCTCGTGAGCAAAGTTGACCCGGCAGACGTGCAGTAAAGGCCGTGAAATGTGTTTATTGTGCAGAAAAAGTGCGTCAGACACAAAGGACGAGCAGCAGTGTCATTTCAAGGCTACCTACGCGGGACCCAGGTTCGAAGCGAGGGCTCCTTCAGATATAAGAGCTTGCCGAATCCCGTCTTGAACTCGGTTCCGCAGGCCTTCAAAGTTCAGTCTATCCGTCACCTGCGCCAAGAAAGTCATCTGTGAGGAGAAGAGGCCAAAACAGAAGCAGAATATAGATCTCGATAAAATCGGTTTTGACACGTTGAATTCTCTCAGCTGCGCAACGCCGAGATGCTTCTATAATCGTGGCCGAAGAAAGTAAGCAGAACCCGTCCAAGGCGAACCCGCAAAGCTTACAAGGTGGGTTTATCAAAGCAGCTTCGAGTGATGAGGACAGGCCCCCCTTGAAGCTGTGCCTACATGACGGATGTGCCAAAGAAGAAGCGCACGGTTCTGCAAACGCACATCGTCACCTTTCTCGGCGTTTTCGATAAATAATGAGTCTCAGCAACCGGCTCGGCTCTTCGATATAGCAGCCAACATTTACCTCGCAGCCGAACGAGTAGACCAGGGCGCTCCTGGCCGTCGCCGCGTCGATGCCCCTGGCTTGAAAGTAGAACAGCTGGTCCTCCTCCAGGTCACTGATGGCCGCCCCGTGGGTGCACTTGACGTCATCAGCAATGATCTGAATGGGGAATCCGAAAGCTCAATCAGGGCTGGAAGGTCGTGTTTCGGTGGACTTTAAAACGAGTTTCTTAGGTTAAAAGGAAGCCTGCGAGCACCAGCTTCACGGACTTGCTTGGCGCCAGCTTTTGGCTCCATCTGTTCAAAGAAAGACGCCCCAGCGATACGAATGGCCCTTCCAATCAGTAGAAGAAGCTTCTCTCATTGTGCACTCGAATTGGCTTTAGGAGGAAAACGGAAGGCTCAGAACGGGTCCGTGCGCTTACCTGCAGATTGGGCTTGATGTTGACGGTCGCTCGGGGTGCCAGTAATAGGTTCCGGCTGAGCTGATTCGCATCCGTCTGCTGCGCGAGCTTGTTGACCCGCACGTTGCCATCAAAAACACCATGACCTGCGCAGTGAAGCGGGCGCGACACAGTCAACAAAAGGCCCATTGCAGCAGGGTAGGCTTAGAAACCTTAAACTTGGGCTACGTATCTTCTCATTTCAAAGCGAAAGAGCGCGTATGATAAGCGTCCTTTCTCAAACTTTTGCAAACGGTGTATTGGCCAGTCTAACCGGCTGATATCAGCACATCCCAGAGGCCGATGTATCTGCGTTTTCCGTTTTCTGGTAAAACACATTTACCGGCCCCTCACCGGTGGCGTGCGTGACGATGCACTTGTGCAGCTGGTTACTCTGGCCTCGAGGGTAGTCGAGATACAGGCTGCTGTGGAGGTCGTGCAACTGCGAGCGCCCCGCCAGGTAAAACGTCGCCACGTCCGTCACGGTCTCGGGGCCAAGCTGCTGGATGTGCAGGTTGTGGCGGGTCAGCCGTCCGCCCCACCTGAAAGCACACCGGTGAACTGTTCAAGGAAGAACACTGGGAAGGAGCACAGGTTGAAGATGACGTCGCAAACATTTGGAGAAAAGATGCCGTCTGAGCCGATCTTCGAAGTTCTCTCTGACGTCCAGGATTGAAATCCATGTCATACAAGCGCTTGAAGGCCATTGCAGCTTTGTGGAAACCTCTGGAAAGGCCCCGAAGCTGAGAACGGGCTTATCGAGGCTGAGAAGCACAATCATGAGGAGACGAGAGAGGGGTGTGCTTGAAGGAGGCACTGCATACTGTGAAGAAAGGAACTTCATAGCCGAGCCTGGCCTTAAGGGCTGATTGCAAGGTTTCCCCTGCCGGTTGCGCCTGCTGATTTCTCCAAATCAGAGGGTACGACTTAGTGTCTTACTTCAGCATAGATCCACAAAAGTACGAAGGCGTGTTCAATCATGAAGAAATCGATGTGACAGCTTGACTCAAAACTGTTGCCATAGCGCTGAACTTTCCAAAGATAGCAGTATACGTCTAGTTACGCTTCTCATATCAAGCACAACTTACTAAAACACAAACACAGAGGAAAGATAAAAAAGTGAAGACAGGGGTGAAGAGAAGCTCTCTAGAAGGTGTTGGATTGGCACAATACGGTCAAAGACACAATCTTTCACCGACAACCCGCTTACCCTGTTTCTGTGGCACGGTATTCTGCTTTTGTCGCCAGTGCAACATAGGTCCGCTTGGTATGAATGCCCTCCTTTGCCTGCTGCTGGATGTATGTATGCGAAACCTGGCCATTACGAACCAGCGGCGATGTGAGAAGAGGTGCTGAGTTGCAACAGCTTGTCTTTTTGCACAATTTAAAAGGTGTGGAAGTTTCTGGAATGCAATGAACACCGGAGAGCGTATAGTCTGCAATACAACAGCCGTGCAGATAGAAGTGTCCCGACTAACAGGGCTCAGTGAGGCCATGCAATAATGGCGTAGAAGCACCTATGCACAGCACCACTGGTGCGGCACAGCTTGAGGCACATGATACATTGAATCCTTATGAAAGTGATCTGGGCACTGTGCAATGGTGGTCATCTTACGACGTTTTGCTCAAAACGGGGCCTAAGGAGCTGCACAAGCATAAACTACAGAGTTGAAAATGAACGCCAACATGAAACTAACAGTTTGGCAATAAACGTTGAGACCCAGCCACTCCAGGGCTCACCTTTGAGTGCTCTCCCAGTACAAACTCCGCCAGTGCGTTCGTCCAGTATGCCCCACCCCCGCCGGTGAACTCCTCCACAATCTCTACCTCCGCATGTTTCCCCGCCACTACCAGCAACCGTGGGCTCGCCAGCCGGGTCGTCCCGTCCCCTGACCCCGTACTATGATACACGATGTGCAACGGCTTATCCAACTGCTTCCCGTCCGGAATGTTGACCAACAAAACATCCGACGCCGCAGCGCCGTTCAGCGCGGAAAACACGTCGAGCCCCCCCTGGCCCTGCCCCGCGAGCGACCCCAGGTGCTGCCCTGCAGTTTCCCTCGCCGCGCTAGTTGCGAGGGGCTCGACAGTGATCCCATCCAGAAGGCCATTCAGATGTGATAACGAGGGGGCTATGACTCCGTCTACAAGAACAATGCGAGTTTGGTCTGCCTCGGGGAGGGTGCATTGGGAGATGTCAACGGAGGGGAAGTGAGGGGGGGCAGGCCAGACGTCCGCGGTCAGAAGGAGCTTCCGAATGTCGGTGAAGCGCCACTGCTCGTCGCGCGTGGTTGGCATGCGGAGGGACAGGAGGGAGGCGGCCGAGGACTCACGGAGGGCCTGGACTGCCTCAACAGGCTCCTGGACAAGCGATTGAGAAATGAGTGGTGAGATTTGCAATGGATACACAAATTGTGGCTTTTTGAAGAACAATGGCATGATAGCATGGACTCCCACAACGCTCGCCAGTATCAACAGGCCCCTGGGCAAGGCGACCAGGGAGAAGTCGAAAGTGCACACAGCATTGCAAAAAGCATTGCTGAGTCCGCTGCATTGCAATTGTGGCTTGCGCTTGCTGCATAATTGTGAGCGTTGCAATATTTTCAGGTCAACCGGTGGCAAGGTAGCGGTGTTTTACTGTGCCCAAAAGGAAGAAGAGTGATGAAGCGGCAGTCTGTAAAATGTGCGCATACGACTGTGGTTTCACTGTACCATCAGTAGCTCTGATGGGGCAGCATTCAATATTGAACCCTCTAGAACAGGAGTGAGTCAACCTGTCGATTGCAAACCCAGCTTTTGCTGAGAATTGCTTGAAGGATATGCAGGTATTTTACAACATTTTTATTGATAAGAATGCACATTCCTCCAGTTCACATAGGCAGTCCCCTCCTGAACCGCTACAAAAGGCAGCTCCACCCACTTCACCATTACCAAAACCCGCTGGGCCCCTCACCTGTCCCTCCTGTATCCTGCGCGCCACCTTTTGCAGCCAGCTCTCGTCCTCTTTCCCTGCCGGAGTATTCGCCTCCGCCCTTTGTGTCGCTTGATCACGCAGGCTGCCCACAGCATTGCAAGACGGCCCCATGCGTTTTCGCAACCCTGTTGTAGAGGGTTTACGGAGCAACTTTTGACTAACGTGTCCTCCATTCCAAGAAGAGATTCCGCTCCCAAGATGCGCGCCGGGCCCGGGGCCGCATGACCAAGTTTTCTCAGACGAGAGTGCCCCCTTTTGCGTTGAATGAAGTGGGGTGTGCAGAGGGCAGCGAGACAGCTGGAAGGCGATGTGGCTACACGTCGCCATGGCTGCACACCTGGTGCAGAGGCGGCTGAAACTTCACCTCAACTTGCTCAAGATTTTCACAATCCACCTGTGCCTCAGGCTCAGGCTCTAGACGAAGAGATGTTGGGAAGCAGCACATTTGCACAATGCAAGCAATTCCGATTTTGGCATCTTCGGCGCGTAAGCGCATCGGACTTCGTCGTCGTATACTTTTAACGACAATAAACTAAGTTGCCCTCGACTCCGATCGACAGGAGATGGCCGCCGTCGAAGCTAACGGGTCCTGAGGCGTTGTAGGAATTCGAATTCAGCAAGCTTCTTCCCGTCACCTGCGTTGCAGAATCACACGGGGTCCATTCATGGCTAGCTGCTATGGCGATGGCGCCATGAAGGCGCTATGGCGCTTGCAGGGAGACGTAGGTAGGTGATTGTGGTTCAGCCCATGTTATGATTAAGAGTTGAAGTTGAAGAGTGCAGGTAAACACAAGTCGTGTGACTGCCCAGTTCGGTTGTCCACAAGGTTTGCTGTGTGCAACGTGATCGAAACTTACAGTCCTACAGTTTACCACCCGCTCGAAGGGGTTAAAAATTGCTGAGCAGAGATTCAGTGCTAACTGCAAGCAATGTTACTTCAAGGGGCAACCAGCAGAACAATGCTGTCAAGCAGCAGTTTCAGATCGATTCCTGATTCCATGACGAAGACTTTTCCTCCTGGGTCAGGGTGTCCCTGTGTCTCCGCATCTCCGTCCCAATGACGGGCTTAGGTAAAATCAAGGACTGGGAAGAATTGGAAGGGTAAAGTGGCAGGCCTTCTTTCGTCTGAACTAGAGATGGAGAGCCCAGGCACCCAGGTCAGTGGGGAGCCATGCACCACGCCCGTTTCGCAGATTTCACAGCCCATGGTGGTCTCACAGGACCAGAAGCGGATCACGAAGTACTTTCCCGTAACGAAGAAGAGGAATAGAGTGCATGTTCAGAAGCCAAGGGAGGGTGGGGAGAGAAGCAGCGGCAGGGGGCTAGTTGACAGGCCTGAAGGGACCCCCGCTGGCGATGCCTTGCTGGGGACCGCTTTGTTTCTGACTGAGCATGCCAAGGTAGGTGAACCTCTCAGGCGAATT